CCCCCCCCCCCCCACCCTAACTCCTGCCGACACGTGGAATCCATCTCCAAGAGGACTCGTCCGCAGCGTCTGTTCCGAAGACCCAGCGTTAACCACAGGCGCAAGCCGTGCTGTGCGCACCTGTTTCCCAGGTCGGTTGCAGAAGAACGGAGGCGGGGCGGCGACGACACGTTGCCATACCCGTCCGAAAGCGTCCCTCCTGTAGCGGAACCGCTGTCCGGGTCAGCCTCGAGAGTGCCGGCAGAGCCGGGGGAAGGGGCAGCCTTCGTGGGAGGGGATGCCGCGCTACCATCCCCGCCCCTGAAGGACGCCTCCCACCGCTGCATCTCGGAGATCTCGTGGTTCAACAGCCGAACGCTCTGTCGTGCGGCGAGCGCGCAAAAAGAGAAGCACGGCAGAGTATGACACGCCGCCCTTGCGGTTTAGTTAGATTGTAAAAACATATCCTTCAAGACGGTTAGTGAGCTACCCTGTGCACGAGATTCGCCCTGGGGGTAGGCGCATATTCTGTACGTGTGTTGTACGGACGCCGGCAAGAGAACCGTCACCCGGGGTTGATTCATCTTGGCAGGACACGTGCAAGCGCTGGCACGAAGAGCCCCACACCTCCCACTGGACAGAGAACGCTACACCCAAGCTGTCTGTGTCCCTCTCGTGTCACATGGACACACAAGCGTCGGCGTTTGGCATACGCGGGGGGAACCACTGCGTGTTGAAAGGTAGCCACGCAAAGGGCTTAGTTTTCTTCGACGGCACGCAAAACAGCTTGGTCTGCTACTGCGCACCCCTCCCCCCTCTCACCTGGTCCGCCGTGCCCATGTGCTTGATCACTCTGGGCCTCGGCCTCGGCCGCCACATCCCCGCCGCGACGCTGCCGGCGACGTTCTCCCGGAAGGCCTGCACGGCACCAGACAGCTCCCTGCCCGTCTTCACACACGTCCAGGCGGGCGCAGGAGGCTGCTTCCCCCGGGAAGGGGACACGGCCGCACCGTCCCCTGGTGCAGCAGCAACAGCGGTCTTGGTGGGGGATCCGCTGCTGGTGGGGTTGTCCTCGGGGGTACCCACAACCGCACTGCCGGCCGCAGCCTCAGAAGGCTCGCTGGTCGTGGCGGACATCGGTGACGTTGGTGGCGGGGATGACGACGTCGACGACGGGGGTGGTGGGACGGTGGCGTGGACGGCGAGGAGGAACGCCAGCTGGCCTTGGCGCCTTTCACGGTGCAGGAACTCCACCCAGGCGGGCACGCTCACTCGAAGAGAGGTAACATGTTCTGACATTTAGACACCAGAAATGGGGCCAGCCAGGGGGTGGGGAGATGATCGGAGTGGTACTTTCAACGGGAAAAGTAGCAAGGGCCGTCGGATGCAATGTAATGGGTGGTTGAAACAGGGAGGCCAGCTTGTCTTGTGCCCCGTTTTTTCGTTTTGTCGGTATAGCGTGGAACCGCCACCCACTATTTAGCTCGCTGCGAGTCCTGCCTACTACTCTGGCATTCTCGAACCAGTAAAGGCCCGTCTGCGGTATGCCGTTGGAGAATGCCACCCCCATGGGCTCATTTTCAAAAGTCGACTACTCAACACCACGAAGCCTACATCAAAACCGATACTCCGTTCTCGGAAAGCCCTTCACGAGACGGTTACAAAACCGCCGCTTATCTTGTTGCAGACTGTGCTTTGATTTATCGGTCCAGGGGGGGTGGAATCTTATGCAAACCACGGCAAACGCTCCTGTGAGGGCGCACACACCTGGGTAGCACTGCATCGCGCGTGCAGCCTTTGCTGAGATCCCGTCTTCGGAGAGCGAGGTCTGGGTCTTGAGCCCTCGGTCCACCTCCGTGCGGTCGACGTCGGAGTCGTACTCGCCCTCATCCACCTTCCACAAAAAGGCGACAGGCGACCACCGCGAGAAACCAACGAGGTCATGCAGTGGCCAACGATTCGTCCGGGAGCCATCTAGGACACGACTTTGTTTCGACTGCTTTATTCCTGACTCAGGTACTCGCGTCAAGATAACACCAGCGAAGAATATACAACTCTCGTGTAAAGCTTTTGTTCCTTCCCTTCTCCGACGGGAGCACGCCCAAATGGAGGCATTCTGACAACCACAACCCCCAACACAAACAAACGTCACCAGGTGCGCACCCGATCAGTGGGCATAAAGACAAAGAAACGAGCCCTGCACCTTCAAACGGAACGGTTCCACTAAATAGCATCTCAACAAAAAGGCTAGCCTGATTGACAGGCGGCGTCCTTTCCCTTTGCTGCGGGCCATAGGTTCGTACCTCAGACTTGGTGTCTTCTTCTTCTTCTTCTTCTTCTTCTTCTTCCTCGTCTTCTTCGTCCTCTCCCGAAACCAAGTCTTCGAACGGGCCCCTGAAGGGCCGAGGGGGGGGGTGTACTCATAGTCGTGCATGCCGTAGTCGTCTGACCATTGACCTCGCATCCCTACAAAGCCGGGACGGAGCACGCCGGGTTCTCACCGGACCAGGCTCTCACATCACCAAGCGCGAAGCGCCGTGAGGTATTTGGCGAGTCGCATGAAGGGTGAGCTGCCATCCTGCTAAGGGTGTTCGGCATCTTGTGCTTACTTCCTTGCGTACGGATGACAGCTACGTATGACTTAATTTATTTTCTGGTGCTTTCACTTCCAGAGACAGTTGCAAGCACTGTGTAACTGCCTCGAGGAAGCTTGACCATTTTAACACAACGTGGTGCGATCATCCCCCGTTGCGCGGAGTGAGGTTTCTCCACCCCGCACAACATGATCTACTCGACCACCATTATGGTTACCGCCAAAAAAAAAAACCGAGGTAAAAAAAAAAACGGTAACCTGGTTGCCGAGTTCACGAAGTGAATTGGCTTGTTTTACAACGTCGTTGCCAAGCGACGAAAACCCAATCCCGATGGCAAACACCGAGTGGGGGGCTTGTTTTACAACGTCGTTGCCAAGCGACGAAAACCCAAACCCCGATGGCAAACACCGGGGGGGGGCGGCTTGTTTTACAACGTCGTTGCCAAGCGACGAAAACCCAACCCCGATGGCAAACACCGAGGGGGCCGAGGGGGGGGGGGGGGCAGGATAGGCAGCGGGGGTAGTCGTAGGCGAGGGTGATGTAAACATTGCGAGGAGGAGCGTGAGAGGGGTGAGACAATTAGAAGCCCCTCAGAGGGGGAATCAAAACGCGTTTCACCGTTTCATTCGAAGCGACCGTTCAGAGAAGAACATCATCCCCCCACCGGCGGATCCATCGACAAAAAAAAAAAAAGAGGCGGCAAGCAAACGCCCAACGCCTGCCCAAGGCCATCGACAAAACAGGTCAGGTCTGACCCCGATACACTTACCAAATCACGTCCCCCGAGGAACACTGCTATTCCTGGGTCGAAGGTAATTACATACCTGACCGAGATGGTGATCGCGTCTGCCTCTGCCTCCAGCGCCGGGATAACGCCCTCCTTGTCCGGATCGAACCAAGGCCTCGCCACGAGAGTGAGGAGAGAGAGACGAGTTGTATTTCGCCGCTTCCCCTTGTTGAAGCACCTGGGTTGTTCCACGGGAGAGCGCAGGGGTGTGGGCGGTACACGCGTCGTCAAAGCAGAAGAATCCGTGGCGGGGTTTGTGGAGCGCACGAAAAGGCGAGGTAGTGCGCCAAAATCGTGTTATTGTGCCGCTTCATTACTTTCGCGGGAGAAGAGCAAAAAGCGGAACACTTGACCATGTGAGCAGTCAAAAGCGGGACAAGCAATCAGGCATCGCCGTGCAACGTTTGGGTAGACCACGGCGGACTTATGATAAACCTATCCGACTGATGTCCCAACGTCGTGATTGGCAATCCCGCGTGCCGACTGTTCTGCATGACAAGCGGTCCATGCTTACCATCCATGAGAAATGCAATCGAACACGGGCCGCTTTTAAACACATCCGAAGAGGGGAGACGTTCTGAAAAGCACAGTTCCGGGAACCTCTCGCCAACCGCGGTGAGGCCCCACATACCACAGAAGGCAGCGGTCGTACAACCTTGACCCCTTTCCGTACCAACAAAACTCTCTGTTAGATCCGTTCCGTGGGTTGGGTGTTTCCGCGACAACCCACGCACGTCCCGCACGGTCTATATCCCGGCTCGCCACGCGGCCGTAACCTGAAAGACTATCGCGAAAAGCGACCCTCACCCGAGTCCCCTGCCCCCCACTTTGGTTGACGTCTGCCGCGCGACCCCCACTTTCCAGTCCGGCCACTTCCTAGACCTGAGGAAGAACGTCTGCCCGTGGGCAAGGGGACGGCTCGGCTCTATCCCGCTCACGACGAAGTGAATCTTCGATGCTGACGCCTGAAAAAAGGGTTTCATACAAGACACACAAAACGTTATAAAGTTGTTGAACAAGACGCGCGCTTACACACGCCGCAAAAAACTCTACCGAGGACAAAAAAGAAAAAACAAATCACACTCCAGTATGACAGCAAAAAACCGAGCGTTTCTTACCAACAGTGACGAAAAAGAACACCGTTTGCCACGTACCTTGGAAGACCATCCGAGCGCCCACCCTCTGCCGATTCTCACGAACTTCCGACTCTCCTGAAAGCACCCAAGCAGCCACGGGGAGCGTGGGTGCAAACCACGGGAGTAGTAGTGGGGCGTGGGTGTCGAGTAGGAGCACAAGCCGCGGCAATTTTTCCAAAGACACTGGTATTCGCAGCAGGGTTCCAGCCGTCCACTTCTGTTAGTGCCGGCACAACTAAACACGTAAAGTGTGTGTACAAAAACTACATGCTGCCTGAATACCACAGGGTGCCCGATTCCCTCGTCGGAAGCGTGCAATGCTGAATCCCCGAGACTTTAGTCCAGGGTGACTTTTGCCAGGGTATTGGCTCATGGTTGTAGACTGCAACACCGGTCGAGAGAGAGAGAGAGAGAGCGACAGAGAGAGACCTATACCTCGAGGTGGGGAAAAACAATCGTTCGAGCCCGACAACCGAGCTCCAGAACGATGACGTCCCGTCCGTACAGGCGACTCTCAACCAAAAATATCCACAACAAACAGAGAGTTATTCGGCATTTAATGACTGTCCCGTCCGTAGAGAATGTGCTAGCCCCACCCGCTAGCCCCTAGCACCCTTGGCTAGCACCCTTACCGGGTGATGCAGAACAATGACGTCACCAGAATGTGCAAGTCCCATCCCTTAACCCCTGGCACACCTACCGGGTGATGGAGAACGATGACATCGCCGTCGTAAAGGTAGTCCGATCGGAAGGTTCCTTCGCCTCCGCCCACCTTCACCACCTGCGGGACAAGATTGTGGCCATGTCCGACACAAAAAAAACCCGCCACTTATCACGGTCAAAAGCCCATAGAGCAGTAGCGGCTACCATTGAAGAGAGGTTGTTTACACGACAGTTCGGGTTGTAAGTCGGAAAACAAGGGGTGTCACGGCCATTAGAAATAGAAATATTTCGGAGTAATACGTGGCACAGTTTACGTGGAAAGCGGATTAGTCGATTCTGCTTGTGAAGACCCTCTCTAAACTCTTAAAACCGCAGCCGCCAGAGTACCCATAGCCCGTTGCTCAAGTTAAAAAGTCTTTCTACGACACGTGCATTGACATTCACGGCGCTGTTATTGCTCACATCCTTTTTTTCGCCGTTCACCTTCTCTAGGGGTCACCGTGAGGCCGGTACCAGGACTTGCCACAATTTTTCTCATTCAACTTCTCGTTTGCCATTCCAACCACAAGGGTAGCGTCTGATTGGAACTCGTCAAAACGCGTGCGTTGCGCTGTCGAATCGTTTTTCTCCTCTTCTAATCGACTGGCGGTCGAGGTAAAACGAAGCACTGCTGTAGCGGTAGCAAGCCGAATGAATGCACGGCCCAATATTCTCATCGATGTTCCATAAATGCTCCATTTGTTGGTTTGTCAGACGACGTCAGCGTCAGTTAGGACAGCACGAGCGTTGGAAGGCGCCGAGCGAAGATCGGGACCGTTTCCACTCTGGAGACAACAGCTGGGGAGACCACGTATCAAACAATAGCTGTGGACCCTCCCTGCTGCTCTTCACCTGGAGGCCGGCAGGCATGGCAGTACCCCTCCTCATAGCGACGCGCCCCCCGTTACCCTCGCCGAGGAAGTCGTGGTAGGACGTAGAGGTGCTCTGGCGAGTCGGCGACTGCTGCAATCGGTTCTCGCCGACTCCGCCCATGAGGAGCGGGAGGACAACGCCACTCTTGACCAGGCCCTTCCCGCTGACCTCCTGGTCGTCAAGCAACACCGGATTGATTGGTTGATGTTGTACTTTCTCGAAAGGATGGCTGTTCCATTAACAAATGCATACGGGATGATTAACATATACCAAATGGGAGTTTATTTACTTTTCATGTGTGAACCACAACTCTTCACCAGGCCCTTCCCACTGATCTCCTCGTGGTAACGAAACACGGTAAAGATTTGATTGGTATTGAACTTTTAACACATACACCAAAATGGGAGTTACATTATGTATGAACCACACCGCTTGTCACAAGGCCCTTCCCGCTGACCTCGTGGTGGTCAAGAAGCACCGGATTGATTGGTTGATGTGTACTTTCGAGAGCATGTCTGTTTCCGCAAGATGTACTACATGGGGCATGTTTGTCATTTGTATAGTTTTCGTTTTGTTTTGAGGGGGGCATATGAAGGATTGTTGTGCTGAATACGGTTTGTCTTTGTCTTTGGGGGCAGATCAACAAGAAACGGAGGCGGTCTACGCTATCTCCAGGGGTCAGATTGGAAGTACTGTAAGGACAACAGCAGCGACAACAGCAACAACGACAAAAACAATAACAACAACAACAACCAACTGGTAGCCGAGAAATCGTCATTGACCCCAAGGGGTGAAAACAGCCTCTGGTTCTGGCTGGTCCTCTTCCTCATCGGGAGAACACCCCAAACGCCCTCTCGGGGTATGGGGGGAGGGGAACTACTCCATCTACGGCGATTTATCCCGCGGTGCCCCCGCACCCATTCTCTCTGTCTCTCTGTCTCTGTCTCTGTGTCTCCCTCTCTCCCTTTCTCTCTCCGTTTTGACCTTTTCGTTCGGGCGGGCCCTGTGACCCTCTCTCTGTCTCTCCCTCCCTCCCTAGCTCTCGCTCTCTCTCTCTGTCTCCTCCCTCCCCCCCCCCCCATTCTTCCGGGGCGGCCACCGCCGGGACGTAGTAAGACTTGTGTGCCGCCAGCTGCGACACCGACGACCGACCTCCCGCCGAGATCGCCCCCCACAGATATCCCGTGCTGTCTAAGCGCGGGAGCCCGCTCGTCGCCGTCCATGACGGACTCCCCC